GAAGGGGCCATACAGACCATCTAGTCCAACCCCCTGCCCAGTGCAGGACCAGCCTAGAGCATCTCTGACAAATATTCATCCAGCCTCTTCTTGAAAGCTGTCAGTGAACGGGAGCCAACTACCTCCCTACTTGAGTCATGGTGACGACAGGGGTAAGAAGTCCCACCTGCTTTGGAATTTTCCCTACGTCCTCTGCTGCAGTCAAATACCTAAGCTTATGTTTAACAGGTTTTAATACTTCTTTACTGTTAGCAACACAATTTTATGCTTCGGAATCAACACATGTTTCTGAACACAATTATTTGCATTTCTTTTGGAGAAAAACCCCACTGTCTTTTGCTGCAGTCCTACGCACACTTATTTGGGAGGAAGGCAAACACCTGAACACAGAGGGGAGTTCCACTGAGCAAACGTGCAGGATCTCCAGCAACAGAGGATGCAACTGAGTGAACAGGAGAATATGACTTCTGAGAGAAAAGGTGAAGTGCTATTTGTTCCACTGTACAGTTTTCGCTAGGAAAGCTAAGCTAACCATTGAAGAGTCTGCGCCGCTCCTTCTTTGAGCTAAAATTAATTGCAGGTATTTGTCATTTATAGAGAGCTATCCATTAACACAGTGCTTTACCCAGAGAAGTATGGTAGGGGTCGGCCCCACGTAGCTTACAATCTAAAGTTATGTTGACCAAGCCATACACTGAGCTAATAACATTAAAGCAATGTTTTCAGTTGTTAGCCCTGCCTGGAGTTCAAGCTCAAAGTCGCCAATATAGGGAATGATCCACAATTCTGCTACGTCAATGCAACAAAAACACCCCAGACAGGAACCAGGATCCTCCAACCACCTGTCCAAGAAAACTGCTTGTGTTCACAACGGCTTTCACAGCCTGGGGCCTCAGTTTCCAGACCTCAGTATTTCTGGCATTTGTGGGGGGGGGGGAGTTTGCGAAGAATGAACAGCCGAACACAATGCTGAAATCCCAAGTGCCAACTGACACCAATGCAAGCAAGAAAAGAAGGCATAGAGTAGACTGCCAAAGACACTTTTTAAAAACCTGACTATTAGATGACAAAAAGCTGCAAAAGAGGTATCAAAATCTTATCCACCAGTTCAGCCAGAGAACCAAGCAACAAGGTGGATAAAGCACATGAAAAGAATCGCCCTGTCTTTCCCTGGGTAAATGTTCCTGGTGCACACATGGCCAATCCAAAAATGGATTACAAGAGAAAGGAGATCCCTGTGGACAGCTATGACTCTGCCAGAGTATCTCCCACACCTGGGCTCTTCCTGCACCAGATCTCCTTTTGACCAAAACAAGCCATCATCGTCATCTAGCGATATTTTAGTAATGGCAGCTTCATCCACAACTAGGCCACGGATTTAAGTGTTTTTATTCAGGCATTAGCCATGGCAACTAAACAGGGCTTCCAGATTCAGTGGCAATCTGCACCTGGAAGCCTTTGACAGGGGTAGACAGAAGAGAGGACTATTGGATTCTTCCTGTGCTTACAGATTTCTTGGAGGCATCTGGCCGGCCACCATGATAAACAGGCTGCTGAAATACATGGACCCTTCCTTGAACTGATCCAGCAGGGCTCTTGTTTTATTAGCGGCCAAGACCCGGACATTAGAAAGGACATCTGGAGCGCAACACAGCATGGCCTCGGAGACAGGCCAGCAGGGGCAACTAGCTAGTAACGGTGCACCACTCCGTCACTATGGACTCCCCTCTCCAAAACACCTTCCATGGTCACTTGGATTGATGCATGTGCCCTCAGGCAGCTACCAACTTGGTCAGGCACATTTTCCACAATACAGCACCACCAAGAGACTTTAACTTAACTTGTCCAATAGTGACTCTTGTGAGAATGCAAGGCGTTCTACAAAATATGAAGGAAACCACAGGGAACAAAAAAACCCACTGATGCTTGAGTCTCCCCACTGGAAATGCTCTTGTTCTGTCACACACTTCCCCAATCCTGATGCTTACTAAGGCGGAAAAGATACACACGCCTTCTTCTGTTTACTGCCGGGTAGAGCCATAAAACCTTTTCACAGACCGAGGTTGTTCCCACATGGAGGATTCTCTCTGCCTTGGCTTCCAGACTGGCATGCCTGTGTGCGTGGGAGCTTCCATATGACACTGTGCTACAACTATCCTCTTTCCAGGTTTTCCTGTCTTTAAGTCTCTCTGCCCAAATCTGGTTTACTCTGACTTTTTTAGGAAGGACACAGCCCAGCATACAAGTACAACCCTGGGAAGGAACGACTTCCCTGCAAAGGTCCTGCTCGCATCCGTGCCATCTTCCTGCTGTCAGCTCTTCACAAGCCTCATTTTCCACCAAGGGCTTTTTTAAAAAGACCAGTATAACTGCTACAGCACTCCAACAATCTTGTCACATATCTACTTCAAACCTAAACAGAACCATTACAGAGCTCGAGCACATGTGTGTGTGTGTGGGGGGGGCATAAAGTCACACTGGCAGCATGACAAGCAAGCACCAGAGAGAGCCAAGGCGGAGTTCACTGCAGAGCACAAGTGGAAGGGGGAATCAGAAAAAGGACAGAGAAAAGTACAGGGAAGACTCTCACAGGTGTATATGCTCCTTTGCCAACACTGATGCTGCTGCATTTGCAGTGGTGATGAAAGCAACCATGAGAATCCCTCGCCATGTGGGAGCCGCCCAAGACATCAAGAAATTCAGCACACACAAAAACCCAGCAAACGTATCCAAGTCGCTGCCTGTCTATTCCTGATGTAAAGAATTAGTGCTGATGCAAGGGGGGGGGTCCCCAATCTTTCTGCGTTTGTGGGCACCTCTGGAATGCTGACACAGCACGGCTGGCACAGTCACAAAATGGCTGCCACAGCTTACCTCCAGTCACACAGCAAAGAAAGCAATGCTTTTAACAATCCGCACAGCCTCTCAGATCTCCAGTGGTGAATCAGAAGCCTCGCGGGGCCTAGCCCACTTCCTTTTTTAAAAAAAACACCTGGCAGGTGCCAAGAAACATGTCGGCAGGCACCACAACACTTACGGGCACCCTGTCGGGGACCCCTGGTGTTAATGGAGACACCCACACACACTCTTTCTCCTAAGCATTTAAAAAAAAACCTTTAAGTTTGCTCAGCAGTTTAAAAGCGTAAGATTCCACTGAGCACTCAATAAAATGGGCATGTTTTTCTGTGAGGTAAGCTTTCCTGTTTCATACACCCAACTAACACCTAGCCAGCCTCCAACGTTAAAACACACAGCACAAGTACGCACAGCTGGTCTGTCTGGTGAGATTTACACACCACACACTCACCGGCCCTCTGGGAAAGGCCTGCACGCAACATCTAAAAGGAGAACCGGGAGAGTAAGCCCCCTGCCTATTAGCCATACTCCCCTTTTTGGCTAGACCCCGAGCAGAAGCGCGAGACAGAGTTTACTGTGGCCAGAATCCAAAGAGCCGCTGAGGCTTATACAAGGGGCTCACTTTAGCCCAGTGGAATTCGACTGCCTTCGAAGAGCTGCCCCGCATGCGACATCAAACTCCTTCGGAAACTCCCTCCAGTTCCAAAGGCAATTTTGCCATACATCATGGGGGCTGCTGCGTCTCAAACTCCTTACAAGCTGACACAAAAAAATTCAGTGGTTTAGGGACCCTGGCCTTTGATTTGGGTTGACTCCCTGAGCAGCTTCTTCCTTGACAGTGCCAGCTAGAAATATATTCCAAAATATGTCTGAGCATCTAATCTTGAACGCGGCTTTCCCTGCTTGGATGCCATGTTACATCTTTCAGTCCCATTGCTTCTACGTTAGGGGGAATATCTTACTTGCTTATTCTGTTTCATGGAGTTCTTCTATACCATCCAAGACTCTTGGGTGCAGTTGTTCCCTGCAAGCAGATGGGAGACAGCAACAAAATAGAATTTTTTAATTGCATCATCCCCTTATGCAAGGGGAGTTACAGGCTCACAATCCTAGGTCTTCCAAGACAATAAAGAGTTAAAAGATACTCAATACCCCACACATTATACCTTTAAGGGCTTAAACTTCAGGTGATGTCAAGACAATTGACGGAGACAGAGGAACTACAAATCGCATGAGGGCCGGGCATTACCATTTATACAAACAACTCCTTCCATATCTGACAGGGGCATCAATTGCTACCAGCCCCCTAGTTAGGAAAGATGGGAAAGAGGGAGGGGGCTGTATGAATGGGAACTGAGAACTACATTCGTTACACAATTCAGTATCAGAAGGAGGTCCAAACTTCCAGTGACACTTGCCTCCATTTCTACAACTACACTCCCCCCCCCTTTCTAAAAGCAGGACAACCCGCATATTTTCCTGACTTCTTAAAAAAAATGATTCTCTAGTAAACTTAATCTGGAATCCAATTACTACAGTCGTTATTGATAAAACGTACTACCTATATTAATAACACCAGGGTGGTCAGTGATGTTTTTACCTTGCAAGCAATTTCTTTCTTGCATAATTGATAAGCTTCCCTAAGCGAGGCACTCTTGCACCAATTAAAGCCTTCATGAAATATTTGGATAACTCAGGCTAGCAATTTCTAGCCCCTCCAGGCTACCATTTTTTTTAAAAAATCATGCAGAGGAAAGGACATGCATCTGTTATAAAGCTTCTGAGAGTGTTTAAAACTAGGGCTTGGATCCAGATTAGATGTTTCTGCAGGTATAAGGATTTCTACCCACAGCATCCCCCCCCCCTTTCACAGCAGCCCCAAATGGCCCCCCAATTCTTGTCCTGGCATCCCTTTCCCCCCAGGAAATGTATGGGGGAGATGTGGGGAAATCATGCTGGTGCCCAAGGAAACATTCATCCAAATCCAGCCCCTATATAACAACACTGAACCTTTTAACATGCTTCTAGACTGCAGCTCTTATAAAGGCAAATACATACGACATTAGACAAGAAGCTGCTTGAGGTGGGCCAGCAATTACATGCCACATTTGGAAAGGCATCACTTTGGGTGGTTAATTTTAAGAAGGGGCACTGCCACACTGGCATGAAGAGAGGAGGAGGAGATTGGATTTACACCCCATGGCTCTTCACTCGGAGTCTGAGAGCGGCTTACAAACTCCCTTTCCCTTCCCCTCCCTACAACAGACACCCTATGAGGTAGGTGAGGCTGAGAGAGCTCTTTCAAGAACTGCCCTTTCTGGCCACTGTGTGACACAGAGTGTTGGACTGGATGGGCCTTTGGCCTGATCCAACATTGGCGTCTCTTATGTTCTTATGACAGCTCTGGCAGTACTATGGCTTGCCCAAGGTCATCCAGCAGCTGCAAGTGGAGAAGCAGAGAATGAAACCTGGTTCTCCCAGATTAGAGTCCGCACACTTAACCACTACACCAAACTGGCTCTCTCTACACCAAACTGGCTAATGGCTCTGAGAGTTTCTGAAAGTGTCCTGTAGAAGTCAGAATCATCTGAAGGTGCTCCAGACGGGCCCATCCCGAAATCTCAACAAGGAGGTCAAACGAGGTAAGCTCTTGGACAGAAGGCAGGCTGCCTTCTCTCTGGACTCTTTGAAGGAAGAGAAGAGCACTAACAGAAGTCTTTCAGAAGAGGGAGAATGCTCGACTTACAGTGTATGATTGTTATGTTCTATTAACACTCTCTATGACTGTCTCTTCAGAGAGACACAACCTGTTCATTCATGGCTGCTGTTGATTCTCACTTAAGTCATTAAAAGTTGCTGCAGTAGGAGAGCCTATTGGAATTCTTACAACTTACAATTACATCACTAATACAATTATAAATTACAACTACATTGCTAATAAGCACCTACATTGTGGCTTAGGAGTTAATTACTTGTGGACTGAGCAGTATGTAAGGCCAAAACATGCGTGTCTATAAAAAATTAATTCCAAAGCTATGTTGGCACTAGGTAAAGCCCCAGGAATTATGTCTGACAAGAAGACCCTGACCGAAACAATAACTTGAATGTATAATATCCAGCTGGAGGCCTGCCAGTTGCAAACAGACTCCCATTCTTTATTTCAGGAAGGTTATATTTACCTATGTGCATGTTTTACAGAAATTTAATTTCAAAATTGGAAACTATAAAACAGTTTGCTCACACGCAAGCCTTTACCATGGACTGGGTACTGTTCCTAATTATGGTTACAACACTGAAAGCACACTGCAGGCTCAGGCACTTTTTCCCACCATGGTGTACCATTATGTTAGAAAAATCCACTCTGAGTCCTGGTGAAAGGAGAAATCCCAGTTTTCATTAGTCACGATTAGCACTCACAGGGAAAGGAGAGAAGTATTTATCGCTGTTAGTTTTTAAAATCTTAAATCCTGAGGTTTGTTGGCCTTTCGGTAAAAAAAAAGAAGAAGTATAATTAAACAAGGGGGAGTCAATCTATGGTTTTCAATAATGCCAGATGGGCCAAATGTATGGTATGATTCATGGACAAACCCCAGTGTTTGTATATGGTTCAGGCTTCTTTTGCTAACGTTATTCAAATACTGCTAACATTATTTAAATTTAGCCTGTCTAACCATGACTAAACTGAGGCTATCATACCTTGGTCACATTATGAGAAGACTCACTAGAAATGACAACAACGCCAAGAAAAAAGGAAGACCCAACATAAGATGGATTGACTCAGTCTTAGAAGCCATATGGCCCTCAGTTTTCAAGACCTGGGCAAGGCTATTAGCGACAGGACAGGACATTCTGGAGAACATTCATTTATAGGCTCAGATTTTAGCACACACACGCACACAGACATATGTAATTATTTGTTCAAATCTGAATAGGAAAATGTTCCAATCCATATTTTTCTAGAAAACCTACATCACCACCTCCAAGCCCAAGTAGAGAGAGGGGCGTTTCCCCAAGAATGGACATGGAACTATTAAAAGTATGGCCTGACATTATTCTTGGTCTATGAATGACGAGCTACATGCTGCAATTATTTTTTAAAAAGCTAGCGAATACCACAACAGAAGACTCCTCACCATTCTGAACACTTAGTTATTCTACCGGAGCTAATAAGCATTCTATTAGCAGTAGCAGGCCAAAAATATTAACTCCAAATATCCCCTCCCCCAAGACTTCCAAGACATAATATGGAAAATGCAGCTGAAAGGAGAATGCCGTGTGTTGACCCTTGATCTACTTAATTGATCTGTCATCCACTGAACTCCACAGGGCAAAAGGTGGGTTAGAAAAAGAATGCATAACAATTAGAATCTATTACACCATCCCTGCAGATAAGTCCAAAGATTTTCTGACCACCCTTCCTAATTCTATTTGTTAACTACAACATAAAAGCAAAGCGCCAACTTTCAAATAGGTCCCCCTGCTTGGCTACAGGGTGGCCAGTAAATGGCTATTTAACAGCCTGGAATTTTGTTCTTCTGGGGGAGGGGGTCTCCTCCATAGAGTTTCCAAGGGAAGAGACGTTCAGAGGTGGTTTGCCGTCGCCTGTGCAGCGACTCTGTTATTCCTTGGTGGTCTCCCATGCAAATACTAACCAGGGCCGACCCTGCTTAGCTTCCGAGATCTGACGAGACCAGGCTGGCCTGGGTTATCCAGGTCAGGGCCCGGCCTGTAATACCAGGTACCAAACCTTAAGAGACAAAACCTGGAGCTTCTGCCATTGAACGTGAACCTCAAAGAAAACTACGGGAACTATGCCTGGAGTAGCTCCAAGGACCGCCAGGCATCTGCAAAGTCGAACCAGCGACAGGTCATCAGATGATCAGACGGAGGGGCCTCCTAGGCACAGGAAGAGC